CAGCGACTGATTCTTCTGATGGCGAGCTCGATCTAACAAATCATGGGCACGCAGACACTTCCAATGAACAGATTGACATGACAGAAGCAGTTGCGTATTCTGACGATCAGCTTGGAATGACAGACGACATCGATGCCCCTCATCACAAGGGCGGTATGGTTAGAGAGTTGATGCCAGACAGTTATCAACAGACTTCGGTGACATCAACCGCAGCCCCTAACGATCAACAGGACGTGGATGATATGAACCAGGCCAACGTTGATCAGCAGTTCTCAACTATTGCAACAGAAACCGCGTACAATGACCTGGTGGGAATGACAAAATATGATGATACTCAGACAACGCTTCCCAACATTGTCTCAACTACAGAGCCAGAAGTACAGGTCCCTACAGTACGGTCAACTGAGGATTCAATATCGGAGCTGGTCGACGGATTGTCCACCGCTATGAGCCAGGATCTAGCAACACCTGTTGAGCATGCGACAACGTCAGCGCCAACCATCCTAACAACAAAACAAAATGCTGCTCCATACACATACCGTGACAACATTGTTACGGAAGGAGCAAGCTCAGTTTCAACTCATTCCTCTGAGGAACACAGCAATGACCAGCTTGATGAGTCTTCTACAATGCCCACGGACTTCGACCGGGAACCAAAGAAAAGCACTAGAAAACCCATCCCACGTCTGCAGTCACGACCAACCTTCTCAAAGTTCTACCGCTTCGGGAATGGGGCTCCAGTCACCAGTACTCAGTCCGCTGTGACAAAGCCTTCGTCTCCACCGACCGACGAGACTAGAACCAGCCAGGAAAGTTCACCCTTCACTTCCACACAGCGCATCACTAGGCCAGTTTCCTCTTCCACGCAGGCGACCACTAGTTCCTCTTTCGAGGTGGTACCCAACCCAAGCACCGACGCAGGCGCAGCAGCCACCGCGTCCCCATCACTGGACGAGGTGCGGTCAGCAATCCAGCCGTTCAGTCTGGCAGAAATGCTCGTAGAGTCCGGTCAGAGCCTGGCCGCCTTTCTGAGAAGCGACTACACAATGGCAGACGTGATGGCGATTATAGATCGACTGCGTGCCAGACGAGAGGGCCGTCCTATCCCGGTGACGGATGAGACGCTTGCGCCGACCCCGACGACCGCACGGACAGACCAAGTAGACCCCCAGGTTCGGCGCCCTTCTGGAGCTCAGTCTAGTGCACAGCTCCCGTACGAATACCAGCCAGACGAGAAACATCACAAGGAAGCCGGAGTCTCGTCGGGTGGTGAGAAACAGCTGCCTTCTGACCGAAGTCCACTGGAAAACGCTGTCAACCCTGGGACAGAGTCGGCCCCTCGGCGGCCGAAGCAGTGGAGTCTGGCGGAGATTCTCGAACAGAAGCAGGTCTCGCTGCCCGAGTTTCTGGCAAGGGGCGGTGACGTCAAGCAGTTGCTTCTGGAATATAATTCTGCAACGCCCTCTCCTGACACTGAAGACGATGCCATCGAAGAACTGTCTACAATCAAACCACAAGCCGATGTCAGTGGCAAAATTTATAGCCTTAAGGAGATCCTTGGCATAAGAAAGCAGACGCTCAAACAGTTTATCTCTGGCGGGGGTAACGTGACCGCCATTCTCGAAGAATACAATGGCGTAGGCTGGCGTGCGTCGCTACGCACCACCACAGCAGTTCCTGCCACCTCTTCATATACACCGACCACATCCACATCGTTTCCTGGCGCCCAAGGAGACCCGGATGAGCCGATGACACTGTCTGTGCCACTGGGAGAGGATGACGATGACCAACAGCGCGACACTCAGCCGGGCATCCGACTTCTCTCGCCGGCACCGGCCATCTACGGCCGCCCGGTCACCCTACTGCCACCGGCGCCAATCGGCGACCCTCCGCGTCGGCTGGACACACCACCACTATCCGACCACAAACCTCAGCCAGCACTGCCCACCGTGCTGCCGCACGACGAGCTCTTCGAGCGGATCAACCAGGAGACAGAGGCCATGTGGGCGGCGGCCGGCGGTGGTGGCGGAGAGGGCCAGCACCAGGTGGACTCGACTGTCTTCGACATCGAGCTGTCTCCGCCGAGCGGCGGCATCAGTCCGGCCGTGCGGCACGCCGTGATCGCCAGCGGCGCGGTCGGCGGCTGCGCCCTCCTCATCTTCGTAGGGCTGATGGCGTTCTGCAGGTGGCGTCAACGTCGTGACGAGCGCGCACTCGGCCCGTGTCCGGCTGCGGACAGTGAGCGCAGCAGCAGCCCCCTCGATCCCAGCCGCATCAACGTCAACAACTACGCCAACGCATACCGGACGAAGACCACCGGTTTCTGGGGCTCCCTAAGGAAGTCGTTCAACCAGCGCTACGCAGCGGCGTATTCAGACACTCCGTACGGGGGTGTCACCACTTGAGGTGGCCTCGTGTGACGATTCGTGGGTAGGTGCTGCCGACCGACGGGTAGCGTGAATGTGACGAGAATATCAAACGCCAGGGACCAGTGTAGTGGTCGTAGCATGAAGGCTGCCGACTACCGAGTGATAACAATAAAGGACTGTGGCATTGACTGAGATGCGCTTAGACAGAGCTGAGCTAAGGTGCACCTTATGAGTAGTACTAGAACCTGCATTTTATTGTTGCACCGGGAATGAAGCTTCTTTACTTTTAGCATTGACGATGGTTCACCTGGCAGATAGTGATAGTTAGCCTTTACATTGCATGTCAGTGTGCTTCAAAACGGACGAAAGCTGCCAGCCTTGTTGCGGATCCGAAGCCTGAGAGATGGCGTCGGTGCCCGATGGTTCATACCAACTATTAGACCCTGGACCCGTGCTGAAGGCGCGGTCCCTTCCGATGCCGTCGCGCTGTCGTGCGTACTACGTACGTCTCTTCCCGTCTGTGTGATACACCCTGCCACTCTCTCAGTACTGAGCGTGATACACCCACCCTATCGGTACCAAGCGTGATACAGTGTACACTCTGCCACCCTCTCAGAACTTAGCACTCTTCAATTGACTTGTGTAATCCGCTGAATGTTTGGTGCTTGTGTAAAGTGAATATTTATTAATGAGAGACTTGTCAATAAACTGGAGCAGGTATGTACAGTTTGCGCGATGCGCAAAATTGTCAAGTATCTTCATTTGAGAGAGGTGTTTTTGCTTGAAGCAACTTGTCATTATTGTTACGTATGCAGGTCATTCAGAAGGTCACTAACCCGGTCGGGCCCGAGGGTTAACCCTCGCCGGCATAGGCCATTTTGCGTCCTTCGACGGCACAAGGGGGGTGGGGTGGTACCCGACCCCCCCCTCGCGTTTGGCCCCTGATCGAGCTAGAGCTTCGCAGAAAAACGAGCGTGCTGCCCGTCATGAGAGGAAGCCGATGATACTCAATCTTAACCCGCGCCCCAGTGGTGGTCTCAGCCAACTTCGCCCTAGTGGGGGGGGGGGGGGGAGCATATGTTACCACCCACCTCTAACTCAAAAACTAAGAGGGCTAGAAAGACGCGGTAAATGAAGTCGATAGCTCTCAATGCGTACGTTTGAAAGTATTCCCGTCATTTTTCATCTTAGAGCAATATTGGGGTCACTGGAGGTCATCAAAGGTCAAAATTTGCCAATGTCATTATAATTTTCAGAAAACATGCATTTATCTCGGGAACTATGATAGCTAGAAAAACACATGGAAAAGCAATCGATAGCTTTTGAACTCTTCTTTTGATAAGATTATCATCAGAATTGACCTCAGGTCAACGGTTTAGCCTCCAGAGGGCAAAAACTCCAAAAATAGCTGTTTTTACGAAGTGTTTTTCGACAATAACTTTTGACTTAAAAGAGCCAAGACATTTCTATTGCCATAATCGTGTTCCTCTCGCCGAGACGCGTCGAATGAACTATAATTTGACCTTGAAAGGTCAACTTGAAAATTTGACCTCAGGTCAAGGTCATGACCTGATCGGAAAAGGTCATGTTGCATATCATTCGATGCGTCCCAAGAAGACAAACACAATAAGGTCATCCCCAGCGTCCTATCTCTTTCCAATCGAGAGTTATTGGTAAAAATATGTTTGTAGCCTCAAATGACCTCGGATGACCTTTCTAGAGGCTATCAGGAAAAAAAGACACATTGGTCGTCACGGGTGGTCCAAATGATTGTGATTCTGAAATATTTGGACTGTTCCTATGCGTACACACGGGTCTAGAGGCATTTTCATTTTCTCTATTGACTTATAATGGTAAGGTCACGGAACTGGCCTGACCTTAGGTCACGGATATAAAAAATCCGAGATAGGTATACAAATTATAGGCGCCCATAACATCATGCAATTCACCAAGTTTAAAACCTTTCTGACAAACACTGCAGGCTGGACATGATTGCAAACTGTTTTAGGCTTGGTCAGTTAACTTGATCTGGTGACCTGACCTGACATGACCTGGGGTTAAAAATTTCACACATTGTCCAAAATTGATGTACAGCCCAACGCTAAAGTAATGTAGGGTTTTACCAATCTCAACGGTTGGCTTTGACTGGCGATTGTTTAATGCGGAGTGATCGAAAAGAAGATGTCAATAGCTAAAGTTGCAGCTGCAAGGGTGACGATACATATAAGCTACATTCAAAGTTTCATTGTAGTCTGGTTAATCGTTCATAAGCTTCAGAAGCAGAACATACCCATGACTGAAACCCCACATTACTTCTGCTGTGGACTGTACAAAAAGCTACTCCAAGCGGCGCGGCGCGTTTTTTATTCACACACAAAAAACGCGACAGGGTGGTAACATATGACCCCCCCCCCCACTGGGGTGAAGGTTAAACCGGCGGCGCTTGCGAAATAACGGGGGGGGGGGGGGTCGTACAGCTCAGCACGGTGCGGGATAATGGACTAGAGAATAGAGATCACTGTAAACAACAGGCTGCAGCGTCCTGGCAATATCGCCGCTATAGCCTGGGGCCTCAGACCCGAGTTGTATATTTATAACTGGCCGCCGTTTGTGAGGCGCATGCGCACGGGGTGTCCGATCAGTGGTCCGGAACGGGCGAGAGACCATGAGCCCAGAAGGCACAACGCGACGGCCGACTCATAGACAGCACTGGCACACGACGTCGACAGCTTCGCTGCAAGGAAGGTGGGTGAAGCCTGCGGGTAAAAATCATTTTCACCTATCACTTCACGGCAGCACCTACCTATCCTAAGTCCATATTGACATCTTCCTTAGTGGGCGGTTAGAGGTACATGCGCATGCTGCTGAGCATGCCTCCTTACTCACCGCTCCCGCCCGGGTGGAAGTCTCTGTCACCTTCGCCATGATGCGGGAAGGGACGTTTTCGGCCACACCCGATAATTTATAAAAAAGGTAGTAAGGTGTCAAAAACAATCGTTAGGACTAAACGAGTAACTTCTTTCAAACTTAAGCGATTATTTTTCGCTCAGGGGGCCCGTCACTGGCAAGGTGAGGCACGAGGTCTCCGTACTATCGCCAATTTCGCCCCTTGCGTGCTGGCTGGCTGAGAGTCTAAATTCGCTAGTGTATTTCATCAAGTGAGGTCCCTCTAGTCATCAACTTTTTTAATAGAAATAAATTTATATCAGTTTTAATCATTTGACATCAGAAAAAATATCCAATCAAACCCAATACTATTTTCAATTTTTACTACATTACCACTAGGTATTCCAATTTCCAGGTGTTCTTCAAGAAGGTGCAGGATGCCCGGGAGCTCAACGTCAAACGCCAAAAAGGTAAGTATGTTTTAATTCGCATCCTATTGGGGTCATTGTTTTATGGCCGAAATGGACCATAAAACATGTGTCACGTGACCCATGCATGATATAAAGTTTATGTGACCTAGGCTGACTTAGCCTTGATCTGAAAAATTCGAAGTACAAGTTTGGTACCCCCAGGGCATTTTAGGCATACCTATATTTAGGAATGTGTAAACCAAAAATGAGCTTGATGAGACTGGTAAGCACTGCAGGCGTCCAGAGCTCAAACTGTGAAAAAGCCGAAATTTTGATAATTTTTGCTTTGACCGTGACGGCACCGGTGACCTCGAGATCAATAAAATTAGGTTTCGTCAGACAATTTTCAAGGGTTATGTTACACCGTAGATTTAGAAATTCTGACAATCGGCACAACAGTTTTCCCTGACACAAGAGTTCCCTGACAATTTGGCAAAAGCTGCCTGAGATAAGCATAGAAAGGGGTTCTGTAGAGCCCTCCCCCCTCCTCTCCCCAGTCAACCGTGTTTGGAAAATATCCCTGTCATGCGCGCGGGTTAATGAGACAACGCTTGCGGCAGAACTTTTTTTACACTTTTTAAACCGTCGTCGATCAGGGTCTTCTGGAGCGTCTTCAGGATGGCGTGGTGATCGGCGACGGAGGCATGATGTCGGAAATGTGCAGACGAGGATACGCGATTACCGGCATATGGACGCCCGAGGTGTGTGTCCAGCACCCGTCAGCAGGTGGGTCCACTGCACGGTGACCTGGCCCCGTCCGTTAGGCAACAATCCGGCGACTGCCGCTGTCTGTACTGGGTTATTCGGTGTGACTACCGTTAACACTGAAAGGTACTTGGTTACTCGGTGTGAGCGCCGCGGACACTACTCGCCACTCGGTTACTCTGTGTGACTACCGTTAACACTGTAAGTTACTTGATTACTCGGTATGACTACCACTACCACTAACACTGTACTGGGTCGCAGTGCGAGAGCTGCACCGGGAGTTTGCCAGGGCAGGCGCCGGCGTGCTTCAGGCGCTCAACTTCTACTCCAACGACCAGAAGATGAAAGAGCGCGGCCTCGACTGCACCGTGGAGGAGATCAACCGCGCGGCGTGCAGGTACCTACAGCTGCATGTGTACCTGTGTATATTCCTTCATTGCCAGATCCGGGATGGAGATACCTATCAGATGCTACTCACGTTGAATCTCCCCCCACGCAAAAGGCATCGGATCGCATCCTCATCTGTCTGTTGGCCTGTCTGGTCTGTCTGTTTTGTCTGCCTGAGTCCAGTGCGTCTGTCTGACACCAGTCCGCCGTCGGAAGTCCGTCTGTGAGATCAGTTCGCCGCCGGCAGTTCGTCTGTATGATGTCAGTCCGTCTGTCCGACCTCAGTTCGTCTGTCTGACATCAGTCTATCAGTTTAACATCAGTCCGTCTGTCTGAGATCAGTCCGTCTGTCCGACATCAGCAGTCTATTAGTCTGAGATCAGTCCGTCTGTCTGAGATCAGTCTATCAGTCTGACATCAGTCAGTCCGTCTGCCTTAGATCAGTTCGTCTGTCTGACATCAGTACCTACGTCTGTCCGAGATCAGTCTATCAGTCTGAGGTCAGTCGGCCGTCGGCAGGCTGGCTCGGGAGGTGGCGGAGGAGGGCGACCAGCTCATCTCGGCCTCCCTGACAGCCACACCCGTGTTCGAGAGCGGCGCCTCGGACGATGACGTCATTGCCGACTACAAACAACAGCTGAAACCCATCATGGAAGAAGGCGTGGACTTCATCGTTTGTGAGGTGAGTACCGCAGTATTTTCGTTTTGTTTTCTTCCCATCAAGCAGTACCTATTAATGTGGAGGGTATTTTTGTTTATACCTAGATGTGATTGATAAAAACTTGGCATATGCCGTTGTACAGAGAACTATACCTATGCAGTAGAACCGTCCATAGCCCACTGACCGTAGGTCAGACCGCCGCCACGGATGTATGACACACCGGGACGCGCCCCTCGTGTGCCGCCCAGTGGCTGTTTGACATCCGTGAAATGGAGCTGGCGATTGCGGCCGGCCGCAGCACCGGCCTGCCGGTGGTCGCCTGTATGACGATCGGCACGCGCGGCGACCGCAACGGCGTGTCGCCCGAACAGTGCGCGCTGAGGATGGCCAGCGCAGGCGCCGACGTCGGTGAGCCTCCCGCCGACCCGCGATCCCAGGACGGAGGGTCTCACCAGCTGCCGCGTGACGCGCGGAGGTCTGATGAGGCAGCAATAGAACTAGTAGCCGATCAGGAGCCCTTGAGCTGACCTTTAATTTTACCTGCTGCATGCTCAACCTCACTGACAAACTACTGAGTCGAACCTCTTTGTTATTGTGTCGTATTGTCGCCAGACGTGCGGATACACGGATAGCTGGTAGTTGGAAACCATGTTATTGTGTCGTATTGTCGCCAGACGTGCGGATACACGGATAGCTGGTAGTTGGAAACCAGATAACTGACAACATTATCATTGATACGCATTTTTCTTTTCAGCTTGTCCCTATCACCTGTAGTAGCACGGTGTTTATGCCCGGTATCAGATACTCGATATCGGTCTGAGGCTTGCTGGCAGCTCGTGATTTCGGTTATGTCTACGTATTTACCCTTATCTTCCATGGACAGTTGGTATGAACTGCGCGGTGGGTCCACGTAACGCTCTGGCCACGATTCGGCGCATGCGGCTCGCTCTGGAATCGGCCGGCCTGAGCCGCCCGCTGATCGTTCAGCCTAACGGTCTGAAGACACCCGACGACGGGACGGAGGCACACCACCTGCCCGGCTGGCCCCTCGGTGAGAACGCCCGCCCCCACGCCAACTGGCGCGAAGATACGGTCCACCATTCAAAAAGCGTAAGAATATTGGGAAAATAAGATGAATAACCTGGGCAAAATGCCTATCCATTTGTCACGGAATAATGACGACGGGCTGGAAACCCCGGTATGACTCATTCGAACGGCCGCAAAGATAACTGTTATCGGCAACCATAAGCTGGAGCTGACGCTAGTATGGCGGGCTAAAACGCGGGGTGGCCACTTCGCTTCGGTCTCTACGCTCTTGACATGGTTTATTGGGGCTTTCGGGCTTTGCCCCAGTCTCCTCTACTTATCTCAAATGACACCTGCGGGAGCGAGCCTATCTCAAAAGGCCACAACACGACCCCGTTTATTGTGATCTCTTTCCGCCCACCCCTCCCGCGGTCCGGCAGCCATGGAGCCGCACGTCATGAACCGGCTCGAGGCGAGGGCCTTCGCTCGCGAGGCCTACAAGGAAGGCGTGCGCTACATCGGCGGCTGCTGCTACAGTACCGTTTACCACATCAGGTATTACCAGAGCACTGACCGCGAGCATCCACAGGAGCATCAAAGCGGCGCCAGAACGTGGGCGCACGAGTCTGAGTGAAACTTTTACGGTTTGAGCAAGGCTTTGCTATGCTCTCCTATGTAGATTACGAATCCAGCCTGAGCAGATATGTGTTGCCCTCGGGTATGATGGTTTTATTTCAGCAAATATTTAGTAAACTCAGCTGTGCGGCCCTGTTTGGGCTCGCTGTATTCAGTAATTTGAGCTGCAGTCCCGTCTGGGCACGCTGTTCTCGGCTATGCGGCCCAGTTTGGGATCACTGTATTCAGTAATGTGGCCCTGTTTGAGCTCGGTATGCTCAGCTAGCCGGGCCCCGTTTCAGGGCGATGGCCGAGGAACTGCAGGAGGAAGCCGGCGGTGTCGCGCCTCTGGCCTCGCACAGCGGCGGCTGGGCCCCGGAGCTGGCCAATAACGACGACCCGGAGGTGGCAAAGAGGTCCGTCCACAGGGAGACGGTCGTCCCACAGCGATTCCAGCACAATTAGTTGACGGGGAGTTACAGTTGATGCCATCCGATTCTGTCCAGATACGTAACATTAAGAACAACTTCATCACGACTTAAATCAGCCAAAGTTTGCACGCTATGAACTTACAACAAAACGTTTGCGCGAGCATTTGCCACACAACATAGTAGGCACTGTGGTCTGTGATAATGTCATCAGTCATCACAGATAAAGATGGCTGAATTTATATCTTTACAACGATATCCCTGTTTTTCAGATCTACGAAGGAATATTGGATGAACGTCTGTCCCACGGCGGTGGAGCCCAAGCCAGCTGCTGAGTTTATGGCCGGTTGGGCCGACTGCTGCGGCTGCTGAATTCATGGCCGGCTAGGCGCACAAAGGCTCCTGAGTTTATGAACGACTGCGCGCACAGCAGCAGCACTGCTGCTGAGTTCATGGCCGGCTGAGCTGATAGCAACTGCTGAGTTTATGCCCGGCTGGGCCGACCCCTGCGGCTGCTGAGTTTATGGCCGATACAGCAGTTGCTGAGTTCATGGCCGGCTGGGCATACAGAAGCAGCACTCCAAAGGCTCTGAATATTAGCTGGCGGTCGTCAGAGAGTCCTTTGCCATATTCACGGGTACCTAATCATTAAACGTTCCTATGGGACTCTTGTACTCCCCATGATGCTGGGTATAGTGTAGTGATAAGAGTACTCCTGTTCAAGAAAGGTCTCCTTCATGAATAAAATGATTAAAATGCAACGCCTTTTGCAGCTTTCGCACTGAACCAAGCTTACCAGCTATCTGTGTCACCTTTTTCAACAGCCATATTTTCCCGTTGACTATCCGAGCAAGCCGCTCCCCATAGTCCCATGTTTGGAGGCGCATATTCAATCTCCCAACGTAGTCGTACGTTGGGACGCTATTTTCTAATGCCGCAGCCCACTCCACTTTCTAAGTGAGAAGCATGATCACTAACTGTTAAATCACAGGATACTGCCGACAATCGGTACATTCGTGGCCATCAGCCTGAGTTCCCATGAATTAGAGTTCCTGCGTGACAGCCTAGCGTACGTACTCCAAGCGTCCAGCGTGCACTCCACATCGTGGGATCACACGCTTGACGGTATCCAGACGCACGTTGTTGTTTCTCAACGCTCGGTGGCTTTGGGCCCACCCTTGTCATTTGACACCAGAGTATATGCTTTGAGCATCAGCTATGTTGGCGGTCTACTGGTTCTGACACGTAGCAGCATGCCAGATTACAATTTCTGGAGAAAAACAAACACGGAAGCCTTCGGAAATGGGATATTCTGGTGTTGTGAAGAGCAATAAACAGTAGTGTTTACCGAAAGGGGTGGGGCCATAATACTACGAGGACAGACTAAACTAATTTTTTGTCGAGTCATCCCTTCAAACTAGCAAGTGAAGCAATGATAAACATTGTCAAACGTGTGTTGATCGTTATCACTTTTTATTTGACATCTCCGAAATAACACTAGCGTGAATGTACATGAATTAGCCACAGATGCTGTGGCCCAATGGTGTGCAGCGGTCGTGTGCCGCCTGTGCCGGTATGGGGTGCCGGGCACGGACCGACCTCACTGAAAGACGAGCTGAAGCAGCGGTCAGCGTCGCCGCCGCCGCCGGCCGCCGGCCGGGCGCGCAGAGTCGCCCTGTCGTACGGCTCGCAGCTTAGCTCTCAGATCACCAGCGAACGACCCTGCCTGGGGGAGGAGGGGGGGGGGGGGGCGGAGGTCACACACCCGCCCACCACAAACAAACGCCGCGGCTGGGTCGTGTCTGGTCTGTGTCAGTTACAGGAGGCTGGCGCTGTCACTCGCCAGTCATAAAACACGCCGTATATATTTAATTTAATTTGTAACTGGTGAGGACACTAAACCTGACATGTCAACCAAACAGCACGGCTCATGAGCATTCCAAGAATGGGAAGCTTCAGAGAAACCACTCGTTTTTTTTACAAATTAATAAAAAAATATAGTTGCATCATTGTTGTGCGTGCACCTAAATTTCCTACTTTGATGTATTCAAAGTGCATGCAATAGTTACAATACATAAAATCATATACCAGTATAACGCCTTTCGGGGCGACTAACGGAGCGAGCGAGAGAGTGGGCCTTGCACGTGCGAAATTGCGAGGGGCCATCTCCAACTGATTTGTGCACGACACACTACTAACCGGTCTCTAACGATGTGCCAAATTTCAGCACAATCGGCCCAGCCGTTCTCGAGATCTGGAAGCGGCACCCTACACGTGCGCACGTGGAAAATGGGTCCCAACTGACTTTTGCACGGCACCCTAACCGGTCCCTAATTGTGTACCAAATTTGAGCGCAATCGGTCGAGCCGTTCTCGAGATCTGGAAACGACCCCTGCACGTGCGCACGTGCAGCAGCACCCAAACTCTGGCACATGGATATACAGTGCCTATTGGGTGCCTACCTACATGCCAACTTTCAGCGCAATCGGCTAAGTAGTTACCATAAGCGTAACTTTATATCTCTTTGTGGGTGCTCAAGCACCCCCAATCCTGAGCTCAGCACCCCCTGCCTTCTTAAAGCACCCCCAGCCTCCTCAAAACATTCCCAGCTGACTCAAGGCCCTCAATAATCAGAATGTCCATCTCCTAGTACTGTAATGAGCCCAGTGAATCATGCAAATACTATGCTTACTCAATTCAGTGACTAAGAGAATATACATTGAATAAATCACCACAAATTAAGATGCATGATATTTGTGTTAACATTACATCTGATATTATCAGGGGCCCGGGAACGATTTTCAAGTTGGGGGGGGGGGGGGGCGAGCCTAAAATACCTGACATGATGCATATAAAACAGTTCGATGTACCTCATCACGGAGGCCCTGCGAGGCCCTGCGGCGCCATTTGACCGCTGAGGGTTAACGATGGCCATATTTCTACTCAGAAGGGCCCTGTGGGGCTCTTTAGAGCACCTCATGGGCCCTAAATAGCCACACTAAGGTCTCCATAAGGGCCCCACGCCGACTTCTGAGGGCCTCTTGCGGCTTTTAAGGACACCTCGGTGGTCTCCAAAGGCCCGTTAAGCCTGAAACAGACTCTTTCCGCAGTCAGGAAATCGCATGCGAGAGCCTATTCAAATACATGGAAGCACGCTCGCATCAATCGCACGCACCTCCCGCGAGCGATTGATGCGAGAGGAATTACAATGTTTTTGAATAGGCTCTCGCATGCGATTTCCTGAACGCGGAAAGAGTCTGCTTCAGCCTTTACTGGCCTCTGAGAGGTCTTACCGGCCAATGAGGGAAAGTTCTAGGGACTTTTCCCACCTGTGATGGTCCCACACTTATTTTTCTGAGGGCCCCATAACGACAACTGTGGGGGCCCTCATCGGTGCCTATGAGGGCCCACACCGGTGTCTCTGAGGGTTTCACACCCCCAACTGAGTTTCTACACCAGTGCCTATTAAAGCCCTATATCGGCGGCTCTGAGGACCCAACAGTCAACACCTGTGCATCTAAAGGCCACCCACTGGTGACTTGAGGGCACCACAACGGTGACCCTGAGGGCCCCACCGGCGTCTGACAGTACCATGCCGGTCTCTTAGGACCCCGCAGGACTTCTTCTGCCGGCCTAATAAGGACCCCTTGCCGGTCACTGAGACCCCCTGCCGGCTTGTACCTAGAGAGTTCGTGTCAGCAGCTCTAAAGGCCCCACACCCGTCTGTAACGGCTCTACACCAGCGTCTATGAGGGCCCGGAGCAACGCCTGTAAGAAGGACCCTCATCGGCGCCTCTGAGAGAATCACACTAGCACCTCTGATCGCCCACACCGGCACCTGCATGGCGGCCCCACACCGGTGCCTCCCTTACCGGCGGCTCTGAAGGCCCTACGCCGGTGATTCTGAGGATGCCACCGATAACTGAAGGCACCACACAAGCCCTTAGTGTAGCTGAGCTTTAATCCCATACCGGCCCTTCGAGGGCGCCACGTCAGTGCACTCATTGCCCCACACCCCTCCCTCACACCCGGAGCGGGTAAACTGTGTTATACCTATAGCAACGATTTTACCACCGTTGTACGTTATGTATTTCTCAAAGTTGACTCAAAATGGTCCAGTACAAAACCTGGCCTGCCAAACTTATGGCCAAGGTCAGGCCCAAACACGTTTTGGGCAATCAATCTCAGTCCATGACTCCATTCTTCGGCAACTACGGTGCAAGGCCGATACTGTAGAAACTTGCAATTTGTACCCTTGACCTGACCTTGACCTTGACCTCAAACTTTAAATTAAGTGCATGTTTTTAGCTATCGTGATGAGATCTTTCGATTGGCGTTTGAATTTTCCAAATCGGACCAATAGTTCGGGAGATAACAGGGGGGTAAAATTTATCTTCCCCAGCCCCACGCGTTCGGCTGGAGAGTGGAGACCCCAGCCCCGCGCGGGTTAATGCATTGGGTGAGCCAAAATTGTTTTACAGTGGCGCTATTAAAACAAGCTCTCGAACCGATTTAACATCATTTCTTGCATGATGCCTAATGGCTACAGTAAAAAAGAACAGCTAAAAAAATACTACAAAAACTATGGAATGCCAGGCCTTTCTGAAAGCTATTGAGCACCCCCAATGATTTTTGGAAAACTACACCCATGGTAGTTACCCAGATATTGCAACAATTACAAAACTTACACCTCTTCGTTTTGCACGTGGCACGTGCGTAAGGGGTCACCCACATGCATCGGGAATAGTTCAATACTTGGTAGAAGGAATGAAGCTACTCTACAAAAATTACCGCATGTAAATCGGTCAAGTGGTTGCTGAGATATAAGCCTCGCAAAAGCGTCCGCACGGCCGGCCGGCCGACCGGCCGACCGGCCGCTCATACTCAGAAATTTCCGTTAATCTAAGGAAAGACTCCGCTCGCTTCGCTCGTTCCGTAACAAGTGACAGAGAAAATGGCATGCACCTAGACTACAGCAGGCTGACGCTACGCTCGCCCCCAGGACCAGTGTCAGGGTTTCCTCACCTGTTTGTCGGCACCTGGCCCAGCAGCCGGCGGCCGGCCGGCCCCACTGCGGCGGCGGCGCCGACGGCCGGTCTGCCCCGGTCCCGGCGCGCCGCTGGTCGAGCGCCGCGCATCCGTCATGGCGCGCACCAGGATGTCGGGCCGGGGCAGCAGGTGGGCCGGCGGCCGCGGCCGGTCCGTCACGCGCACCGTGCTGGCCACGGCCGGCGCCGGCCGTCCCTCGGCCTCTCCGTCCGAGTCGTCAGCGGCAGACGAGCGCCGGACGGCCGACCGCGGCCCGCGCGCCCCGCCCTCCGCCGTCCGCGGCCGACCGCCATGCCGGGCCTGCACACAGCGAGCACAGACAGCGGGCTCAGTGCGGCTACACCGCATACAACGAGTACATAACGAGCAGGACCACAGCACGAATGCGTCTCAAACCAATAAAACTGAGCAACGAACACTTGGCATTTCTAACCATGACAAATATATACAAATATCATAGTTATAGGCTGATTACAACACAGGCAGGCGTGGACATTGACTTCCACTGACACTTCATGGCTCCCACTGACTCGGTTCTGACTCCACTGACCTGTTTTGGGTCCCACTTACCCGTCCTGGCTGTCATTTACCCACCCTGGCTCCCATGTCTGGCTTCCACTGACTCGGTCCTGGCTCCCACTTTTCTGTCCTGGCTCCCACTGATCCCCTGGCTCCCATTGACTCGATCATGGCTCCCGTTGACTCGTTTTTGGCTCCCATTGACTCGATCCTGACTCCCACTGACTCGATCCTGGCTCCCACTGACTCGATCCTGGCTCCCACTGACTCGATCCTGGCTCCCACTGACTCGATCCTGGCTCCCATTGACTCGGTTCTGGCACCAACTGATCCATCCTGACTCCCATTGACCCGCTCCTCCTCCTCCTCACTAACCCGCTCGGAGGACCGTCCAGCCGGCGGGAACGTCGACTCCTCTCGCAGGTTGATGATCCGTCCTCCGGCGGCGGCGGTGGTCGGTACATCGTGCGGTGGCGGTACTCTTGGAGGGCCTGTGGCAGCGGACGGCGCGCCGGTGAGGACAGCAGTCAGATACATAAATGGAACAGCAGACTACTATGGACGTCAAACCCCTTGAGACCCCACTTTTTTGCGATAATTTTTAAATGCGTCAACTCTCGTTGACAATATTCTGGCAATGTGTGTTTCAGAACCTGCCGAAACTTTTATTACTAAGGTATTTTGACGCCAAACGATTATGAAAGGTACTTCTCATTCACTCGTAATGTTAAATTTCACGGAACGAATCTGCTGTTTGGGTAGAGGCTACGCGCTCATGAGGCGGAGCCACGTAATGACGTCAGCGCTAAGCTCCGCCCTACCCCTCCGGCGCTCCTTGCCCGGCGACCGGTCACTCGCGTCTCTCGCTCCATTCAGGCTTGATGGTGGGCGGTAGTTGGTAGCGGTAGCGGGCGCTGGTAGATTGCATTTAGGGCAGCTGGCGCTGGTGGCGGGGCTCGAGTGTGGCCGAGCGCAAGCCTCTGCCCGGGCCCGAATTGACCTTAGCATTACGAGTGAATGAGAAGTACCTTCCATAATCGTTTGGCGTCAAAATACCTTAGTAATAAAAGTTTCGGCAGGTTCTGAAACATACATTGCCATAATATTGTCAACGAAATTTGACGCTTTAAAAATTATCGCAAAAAAGTGGGGTCTCAAGGGGTTTGACGTTCATAGTAGTCGACAGGGGCATAAATGGAGCAGCGAAAAACGGACAGACAGACAATCTACAAATGCCAAAAGACCCAACCATACACCTGAAAAGTGTTTACCTATAGAACGTTTCCCGATGACACAACCCGGCTATGTCCAGTCCCGAGACCCGTGATACACCTACACACCCAGACCCGGTCAGGAGGGTAGTCAGAATTACACCCCGTCGCAGGGGCAGATGGCAGCACTCACCGTTACCGTTCGAGCGGGCCCGGTTCGAAGGCCCGTCATCAGTTGACAGGAACGAGATGCGCGGATGACGCCGCCGCCGGCCTGCCGCGCCGTCACTGTCGGCAGAGCTGGCCCCGTCGCGCGCGGGCGGCTCGGCGACTTTGGAGCCTCGACTGGGTGATCCCTTCGACCTGGGCTGTGTTGGAGAGACCGACCGACTGGAGCCGGACGTGTCACGGGACTTGGATCGCCCAGAACTGGAAGAATCACGTGACCTAGACCGGTCTGACCCGGACGTACCACTCGACACGGATCGGCGAGACTTCGATGTGTTACTTGATTCAGATCGAGACCTGGATGAGTTACTTGATTCAGATCGAGACCTGGATGTATCACGTAACTGGGACCGTTTAGACCTGGATTTGTCACGTAACTGGGACCGTTTAGCTCTGGATTTGTCACGTGACTGAGATCGTTTGGATCTGGAATTGTCATGTGACTGGGATCGTTTGGATCTGGACGTGTCACGTGACTCAGATCGAGACCTGGATGTATCACGTGACTCAGATTGTCGAGATTTTAAGCTGTCTCGTGACTTGGATCGTCGAGGCCCTGAAGGATCACGTGACCGAGACCGTTCAGATCCGGACGTGCCACGTGACTCGGACCGTCGCGATTTGGACGAATCACGTGATCTGGACTGTCTGGAGACGGCTGAAGCGGCGGCGGCAGTCTCCGAGCCCTGATGTGCCGGAGAGTTACTCGAGTTGGAATGGCGAGACGGCGATTCATCTGGGCGCGGTTGACAGTCACGAGGAAGGCCATTTGTACTGGCATCGTTAGACCCCGGCTCTGACTGGCGGTCCGGTGTCGTCGATTTTCGATCTGGTGACGCCGGCTGACGGTCTGGTGACGTCGGCTGACGGTCTGGTGACGTCGGCTGACGGTCTGGTGACGTCGGCTGACGGTCTGGTGACGTCGATTTACGGTCTGGTGATGTCGATTTACGGTCTGGTGCCGCCTCTTGCCGGTCCGGTGAGGCCGACTGCTGAACAGGGCTCCCCTGCTCCGGCGGTGGGTCGAGACGTATTTTCTTCTCCGCTGGCTGCTCCTCAGGCGGTAGCGAGCGTTTGTCAGCACTGCGGCCAGAGCCGGGTGCTGCGACCGGTCTCCTGCCTCCACTGCTGGCTGCTCTCTCTGAAATGGCAGGCATTTTAATAACATTTTAGCATAGCATTAAAACTTGACGATTTTCCCTGGATGTTCAACACTATGAATCAAGACTGATTTACATGTGCTATTAGTGCTATTATTAGTTTCCTCAGAGTAGTATTAGTGCCAAAAAAATAACAAAAGGACAGTCAGATGCCTATTATTTTCACATTCATTATTTTCATGTTCATTGAAATTTCCAATAACCTTGCAAACAAACCTTTTGCCTGCATGCTCATAGTCTGAAGTCTCCCAAGGATCTGAGCCAGCCATTCCACAAAAGCAGTTGTCTTCCCTTGTAGGAAAAGCACAAGATCATTTTCCATTTGCTCTTTAGACTTCTTGTTGACCACCAACACCATAATGTAGTCAGGTAAGGCATCATCTGAAATATAGATTATTCTGTAACTTCCTGGTACATCAGCATTGTCATGTGCCTCAGTAAGTACCTATCTATGTAGCAGGGTAAACATGTAAACACTTTGGTCATTTACCACTTAGGTAGGTACCCACTTTGTAAGATTTACATGGTCACAAAATTAGGTAGTAGTAAAGCAGACATCACACTCGCTTTTTCCAACCAGAGGCACTGTAGGTTAGGTTGTAGGTTGTAGGTTTAAGGTAGCAGGTTTTAGCTTGTAGGTTGTAGGTAGTTTGTACGTAACTGGTAACTGGTAAGGTTAGGTCAGGATTGGTTAGGTTCGGTTTAGTTTTATTAGAAAGCATCTTTGGGTAAAGTGCCTCTCCTTGGTTGGAAAAACAACTGTGATGCCTGTTTTATGACTACCCAATATTAGACAATAGAAACCTAGGTAAAGCAAGGCATTGGTACCAAACTGAGCCTAGTGACCTGAACACCAGCATAACATATTAATCAAGGTTTTGTGAGCTGGATAAAAGCATGAAACAATTTGTCGTTTCTTGGCCATGAACTGTTCTGCCGTACTTCACTTGATTTAACTTGAAAATCACCTTAACCCGGATGGCGGTCACAACTTACCAACAGTTACGCCGAGCTCGAGAAGCTTCGCCTGAATCGCTTTCTTAATTTTCTGACTGACTTCCGACCTAAGTCCCTCCATGTCAGCGGTATATAGGACCTTATTGTCAACAGTGATTCACAATATCAATGCCAAGGCAAGCAAATATAACCTAAAATGAACCTACATGCAAAGGATGCAAAATTGCCAGCGTCCCGCCTTTGATCCCGCGTGTAAGTACAATGACAAGGCGCACACAAAAGTCTGCTCAATTTGTTCTTAATTTGTTCTGCACCCTGTGCAAAAACTGCTCATGCTAGAATGGAGAATGAGAAAGGAATGAGGTGTTAATTGTAAAAAAGTAAAAGTACCCGCAAGATAGGTGTTGAATAACTATTCTTAAGAATCAGGAACAGTTTTGGAAATTGGAGTGGGTGTTTTCAAAAAAGAAATATTGGCATTATCTAAAATAAATGCATTTTTTCCATGTTGACGTGTGCGTGAAGTTGGTCTTCATTTTAAGCTGGTAGCGTTTTTTGAACAGACTCTGTATACAAACTCAAAAATGGCGATCGTATGACATTAGTGGTGCGTTGGGCAGATTGGGTGATTTTGGGCGATATATTGGTGGATACCTCTTATACGGCCTTGGTGGATACGGATATTTGGATATTATTACAGCGTGGTTGCTGATATTTTCAATTTGTGGGTTGTGGTGGAGAATGGAGATGGCAAAATAATCGTTTTACAAATTGATTTCAGTACCTAATGAGTCCCGCCTGTCCCGTAGCTCAGTTGGTAGAGCATTGGACTCCCGGTAGTCAAGGCCCTAAATACAAGGTTGCACGGACTTATTTCTACTAAACCTACCAGAATATAGTTTCACGGTTGATTATTTAAATAATTATTCAATCCAAATTTCTTTATTATTATCTCGTAATCATTTATAAGCAATTTTATAAATCAACTTTCAATTTGCTTGCCTTTTACTAGCAAAATAACTTTTCTAGTATTGGGTCAACATAGTGGTGTAGCAGTAGGAACCACATCTGGCAAAACCCCAATGCCTACATACAGCAGAAAAGCAGCCACCAGGTGTCGCCACAGTCGCCACTTGGTCGCCACACAGATGTCGCGCGCGTCGCCAATCGCCACACTACCGATTTCCATAAGGACGCATATGTACGGATATGTATAGGAAAGTCGCCCTTAAGGATTACGCTTACATCCTTTGCTTATGAGGTCGGTGGTTGGAAATTGGGAGGGGCTCAGCTATTTTCGACCACGGATATGCCTTTATCACATGATGAGGAACATGCTGATAAGCGTTTTATGCGTCATAACAGCACAAAAGTATTTTTAATCATTTTTCAAAAATAGCCGTTCTGCCGTATCTTTCAGTGCAAGGTGCCGTCGGTCATCCCCGACGTGACGTCACGCAGGGAATTTGCCAGATTTTCCTACTAGACTTCGACACCCCCTGCCGGTAGTGAGAGCCCGGGTTCGAGACGCCCCGGCGCTCGATATTTGAGACTCCTGACGGGGATGGTCTGCGGTTGGTGGGAGCAGCCGCAGCCAGTTGAAGTCAGTTGAGTGGGGCAGGCCGTGTCCGGCTTTGAAGGGCACGTTAAACTTTGGCATCTAAATTCTCCCGATACCCGGAATTGCGCGATCGGACGGTAGGGATCGGGGTCTACGCAACAAGCTCTGCTTAGCGTGGGCTCCGGCTCTGTCAATCCGTCCATTCAAACATTCGAGCTAAATTTATAAAAAAAAAATGAGCACGTTCATTGTATCACAATCACCCTTGGATTATTCGAAAGGGGAAATTGCCTGACTAATTGTAATGGCTTGAAATTACGAAGTGTTGTTGAAGTTGAGTTGCATTTGGATTGGATGGTAGCTCAATGCAGCTACAACTAAACAGCTCAATCTTATACAATTCAATGGGAATGTATACAACTCCAGTTCACTAAAGTGAGCTTAAATTTCAGCTGCCCCACTGGACCTTGCATTCGGCCTTCGGGTACCAGTTTTCAACTTGAACTCATAGGCGGCGGAACGGGGAGGGCACCAGGGCACCATGCCCCCTTTGATTTTGGCATGTTAACATTAGCCCTATGGGCGTTGCATGGAAAAAATGGGACCAAAAGTCGGCAGTGCCCCCCTTAATTGAAGGTGTTCCGCGGCCGCCGCTACTGCTTGAACTGTAACTCCAACTGGAGTGTCTACTGTCTTCAGTGTTCAAAATCCATCCTATGATTTTATTAGCAACATGCTTCCATGGTCATGAGTGTGAACTTTCTGAAATACCACTTAACTTCACTATCACTCAAAATTTGACTTATGGGGTGTACTGTGATGTACTATGTATCAGTATTACATGTGCACTGCACTAGCCACCTACAAGTTGTCTTCTTAATTCATATTGTTCTTACCTATTTCAGTCAAACAGCTCTTGATGGCTGATCAGGAGATTTCATTGTAGATGCTGTTCTCACCAATGTCAATATGAGATGTGATAAGTTAATGGCAGTTTGAATGTCACTATTTGTGAGCAAGGATTCTTGAAACTTGAAGACACTGTCATGGGGTTGAAAAACTCAGGTTTGCCGACCTTCACCTGCATGATAAATCCAGTGAGGGACACAGTCTTGCTGGTTAATTCAATTTTAGCCTACCTGGCAAACTGCTAAATAGGTATGCCCCAATGTTGTCATTGGACAGGCTCTGCTGAAGTGATGATAGTTGCTATTCATCCCTATGTGATGGTGCCACATGAGTTGATGATATTTTGGTGTGATCTTTTCCACAGCTGAACAACATGAACAAGGAATAATAAGCTAGAAAAGGAAACTGCTGATTTCGATGATCTTCAATATTTCAGTGTTAAAGCCTTTAATTGTACATATACTGTCCATTTAGTTTTCTTCAGAATGAGCAGAATAAGGCTTATACAGTTGGGAAGTAGTTGCCTTTCCAAGGCTAATTTTCAAAACATATGCAGTTCAGGATTCAAGGTAAGTGGTATACCTACCTAACTATAAATCAGGGTTACACACCTTTTTATTTGGTCCATTGCTCCAATAAGTTTTGCACCTGAGGGAAAATTGAATTAACCTGCTTCCCTTTCTCCCATATGTGAGGCATTCACAGCACTGTCTTTACTGTAGTGTGTTTGACTAGGATGCCAATATTTGTGTGACCCTTGACCTTGATGTGACGGTCGGTGTGCGTCATCAGGCGCCGGCGGCGCGCGGCCTGCAGGTGCCGGCGGACCCCACCCGGCGCCAGCGGCCCGACCTGCTCTACTCGCGACTGGAGCTCGAGCTGCGGGCTCACGATCCGGCCGTGCTCGACTCGTACGTGACGTTCCTGCAGCAGGCGGCGCGGCACCTGGGCGTTACCACCGGCAAACTGTGAGTGACGTAACCCCCACTCCAACCCCCTTCTGCCCTGGTTAGTCTCTCTCTGGACCAGTAGACATGACCGTGATGCTTAGCCACTAGTTCTTCAATTAAATAGTCTTCCGCAGTCGGTAGTACGTTGCACAGACACCTTTCATTACCTAGAAAATACATAAGTGCATAAGTTACGAATATTCGTTGACAGACCGATTTACCTAAGTTAACGACGCTTATTATTGCAACAGTCTATTTGATACTTCATATATTTTGACACGACATCTATTATCCAGCCCATAGTAATAATTCATATTTACCTTGCCTTGTCTTTATGTGGTGACCAGTATCACTGTTTGCTGTGTGTGTCAGTGGTCGTTTGGTAGGTGAGCGGGGTGAAGTCTCGCGCTGCTGAGACCGCTGCTGCGGCCGCTGACGGCCCGGGCTGACTGTGATCATGTATGCATGAACTCTGCTGGACGGTGCCGGCCGAGGATGGGTGCCTCGTGGCTCGGGCGCCAGACTCGAGCGGAGCCACCCGTTGTCGGAAAAGTTAGAGCCGTTGGCGTCGTCCGCACTGGCTCGAACTCTCCAGTGGTATTGATCACACGGCCAAATCGGAGGATCGGCCCCGCATTGGGTTACCATATTTAAATGTCTGGATGTTCAGGCACAGAGTTCTCGCTGCCGCGTTCCCGTTCCGCGTTCCCCGTAACAAATCTATGGTGGTAAAAGACTCTGTATCCACAATTGGGAAATTTGAACTACTATGCCTTGCAGCGGGTGGATCACAGCGTAAGGACGCCGGAGTGGCGCCATCGTCCACCTACTGCGGTTTCGCCAATGATGCCAACAAGGCTCTTAATCAGTGTAACACTCAACCTAAAACATCTTGTTTCTCGCACAACATACAAAGACTAGGCGCTTCACGAGCTGACATTGCTGAAGACAGTGCGTCTCCTCATGGGTCAGCCGGCGACCATGTGCATCGTTTGCGGTTTGTCTGCTGTCACATAAATAAGAGCAGTCACTAGCCAGGGCCGTTCGCTATCTGTTTTGGACGTTCTTCCAGGTCTGATGATGATGATGAACGGCGGTTGGCGTCCACCACTATTTATCGACTGTTGAACATAACTCGTCCAGCCTCCTGGGCAAAAGCCTGTATTATTTTGTTAATTTGCAGCCTTATTTTGTTCGTTTTCACTACCATTAGGGAAGCGATAACATATAATGGACCCATATTATTTATTGGCAAAGTAAATCAGACTGAACGACGTGGAAACAGTTCCTTTTGCTGTTCACATCGTAGCAAATCGTCATAGTTAGTCTGTCTCCACTTATAACGGTCGTACCCCCATCACCAATCACAACTAAATTTGCCAATGTAATTTTATAAAAAAGTTATGCGAAGGACTCATAATTGACCGGGTCATACCCCGAGTTTTCCCTCCATTATTGAAGAGAGATATGCGATGTGTGCATTCTGATAACCGTATTAATTACTAAAGTTGCAAAGCGACCCCCTAAAGTGATCGGGCCTCGGCAGGGGGTTTACTTTTTTCATTTTCACCCGCAGTGACTGAACGATGAAAACTGCCTTTAGTGACTGTCTTTAGTGACATTGTGATGTAGTTATTGCTCACATTTATGGAGTCAATGTTTGTTAAGCCTGTATAGTGTGTGACGAGCCCGCCTCTGCCGCCAGGTGGGAGCCGCCGCGTCACTACCAGCGACTCTCGCTGCTCAAATCGGTGCACATTTTCGCCAAGCACAAGGTGCAGTACGAGGCGCGCACCTATTTCCGCGTACTGGAGCTGCTCCGACTGACGGGCAGCACTGCCGACACCTACCTCGAGTACACACAGCGGATGCTGCCGGAGGGTATCGCCATGAAGGTCTCACGGGT